TACTATTTTACGTCAGTTAGTGCTTTTCGAAATTACTGTAGAAACTAAACGTGGTATTCTACCTTTTGGAGCGTAAATTTGTATGCGTGTGTCCGTCCGGCTGTCACTTTTGAAGCCTGATTTGAGACAAAAAACCGATCAAACTGCCCTAAATTTCCATCACTAGGGGTAATCGACCTTCCTCATTCCGATGGTCTTGGCAGAATTCCTAGGAAAACCCAGTTTACAAAGTTAAAGCCGGTTTTACTACATTTTCGGGGTCGGGAGAGCCAATTTGCCTAATGTGGAACACTAGAAATTTCCGCATTTTGGCCAGTTTTCGGCAATTGATCATTGCCGAACCTATCGCAAAATTGAGCCTGCTGCGTCTTTAAAGCGACCGGCAAGACATCAGTTTTACTTTCTTCAGCGTCCATTCCCTATGCATTTTGGAGGACGCACGATACGCCCGGCATTGCGAAAGGATTCCGACATTTTCAGCAAGTCAAGCGGCAAGCAGCGCCATAGGCACCTAATTGATTACGCGGTGAAAAGTTGGGCGCGTTGCGGTCCGCGGGCTATGCAAAATCGGAAGCGAATTGAGAAGACTGCGAATCCATTAAACAGCTGCCGAAACGCCACAAAATCGGCGCAGTATTCGAGAAATCCATAAGAGGTCATAATTGATGTGTGAGGCGCGTGTCTGGCAGCCAGTTTACCCAAAAATACCTCATAAAGTCAGAATTTGGCTTCACAAAATTTTCTATAGCTCAAAAGACTACCGTTCAGGTCAAAAAGTCGTGTTGACTCTCGAGTCGTTTTTCGGGTACCCAAATTCTCATCTTTTCTCGAATATGAGTTACTTCTAAGAAACGCCTCAAGGTCCTCCTTGCCAGCCAGTAAAGCGATAAAGAGAGAAAGAGAGAGAGCAATCTACCACCCCTGGTCCACTTCTACGAATTCTGCGAATCGAGTCGTCAGTAGTGCCATCCCCGTAGTCCACCCATATATTCCTCCATTTCCTATCTATTCCAGGGATGGATTATAGAGATTGTGTCTTTCTGAGAGATCCCAGAGAGAAAAGGGGCGTGGCTTCCCTCCCCCTCCCACTTTCGGAAAGGCTCCCCCCCACTACCGTATAAAACATCCTCCCACCCAGGTCACACCCACACCATTTCAGCTCACCCTAAAACGTGCCCCCGGGTGGGAAAGGTGTTTTTTAGGATCTAGAAATGTTAACTGCCAGCCAGTTAGCGTATGTTGGGTATCGAACCTCGAAAAACGGGAATTTTTTGGGTTTCGCCTCGAAAATCACGCTTTTTGCCTCAAAATCCCTTTTTGGTATTTATTTTTGGACATACCGTAGTTTATCCTTTTTTGACCATATTTCTTTTTTAGGCAAAAGATTTCCATAATTAGATTTTTAATTCCAGTCCTAAAACATCTAAAATACTAAAAAACCCCCATTTTTGCGTAGCGAAATGTACTTTTTACCTAAAATTCTCAATTATTTCCAGTGGTACGGTAGTTTATCCATTTTTTATGCTTTCTGCCTGTCAGCGAATAGCTTTGCCTAGCGACAACCTAAATTTTAGTCTAAAATTCAAAATCCGGTCTTGGGGCAGACTTCAAATTTTGGCGCGAATCCGTCCCATTCGTCGGGTTACGGTATCCGAATTTATGCCATGCAGTTTTTTTAACAATTTGTAGCCCGTTAATAATGTAGAATTTAAATTAAACAGGAATTATCGCTTAACGAAGCATAAAAAACCAAATTTTCTCCAGTTTTCTCGATTTTTCCATTTTTGTAATGTTCTGCGCTAAGTAATTCAATATTTTATTTTAATCGTGTTTTGTATTTATCTATTTCTCTAAATTTAAATTGTAGAAAGAAATATCATTTTTTGAAGTAAAGAAAAAGAGAAAAAAAGTACTGTTATAATAGTATTTTTAGCCATTTTTGGGATTTTCGACGTTCTGAATTTTGAAAGTTTAATTTTGATTGTGTATATTTTTATTGTATCATTTTTCTATATTTTAGTACTTATTTTATTTAGATAATTTCAGATTCATTTTTATGCAAAGAAAAAGAGGGAATAATACCAATTCAAATCGAATGCATCGAGCGCCCGCCCCAAGAGCCATGCAGTAAGTTATTTTAATTTTCAAATTTTTCTAAGTTTATTTATAATATGAATTTAATTTAAATAGCTAAAATGAATGTCAGTTTATATAAAAGCAGTTTAAATTTTACCCAACTTTAACTTAATTTTTCCCAAAATGATTTTTCAGGTATTTTTGAACGAATTTGTGCAATTTCTCGATTTTTGAACCCAAAAATCAAGGGCAAGCGAGCAGAGATCATTCGGGATTTCAAAATACCGGAATGGCATAATTTATCCGGTGGTTAGGAAATGGTTTCTAACAATTAGCATACCGGGAATTTGTTCTTCAAAATTAGGCTCTCACCCTCCTCCTTGTTTTGCCCTTTGTATTTTCTCTGGAAAAGCGGAGAGAGAGAGAGAGAGAGAGAGAGAGAGAGAGACAGAGAGAGAGAGAGAGAGGAGCTCTAATCTCTAATTGGGATGACAACAAAACAGGGTACACCTACAGATTATTTAACCGGAACTAATCGGTGGAACTCGGGTACCTAGCGCCCTCTTTTTTAAATGCATAAAAATTAAAAAATTGAAAGCTAAATTCAATAAACACGGGATAATTTGGCCTTAAAAATAGTTTGATTAATTTTTGGCTTTCTGTCGCGCAGTGATCAACTTAATCTCAAAAAAATTAGTGAAATACCGAATTTTCTGGGTTTAAAAACTCAAAATCGCTTTTCTGAAACCCAATTAATAAAATCGGCATCAAATTTGCATAAATAACTATTTTTAAAATTTTTTTGATAGATTAAAAGATTCTTTATGTGTCATTAAGCAAAATACCTACAAAAAATATTTTTAATGTAATTTCTTAAACAATTTAAAATCAGTTTTCCAGGCCCTCGCTGCATTTTTTGCAAAAACTTGAAAAACGGCTGAAAATTTCGCATAAATCGATATTTTAAAATGATTTTTATTTTTATAGCGTTACCGATTCTTTGCATTCCAGTTTGCCCAATAAAATACAAACGATTTTAAAGAATAGTCTAAAACCTTTAAAATCCTTCAGACCGTCGCCCCGACCAGCGCGTACCCCTCAGCGTCGTCAATGTGGTGTCTGTGGAGAGGATGGTGATGGAATGCATTTTGGGGCCTACAGCTGTGCGGCCTGTGGAGCTTTTTTCCGGTATGCTACTGTTTACAGGGCAGTTAAAGGGATTGGAACAGGCAGGATATTTATTGGGTTTTTGGCTGCAGGTCTGAATATCGTAATCGGGCTTGTTGCGTATTTTACCCCTTCTTAATTGGTCTCTTTTCGTTGTCTCCTTGCTATTTGTCACCCAAATAGGCCAATGCACCGTCATTTTCACAGAAAGCCCCCCTCAAAATTCTCAAAAGCGCATAAATTCTGGAAAATTGGGTCAAATTCCGCTAAAATGGCAGGCAGGAAAGGATTAGCTCTCAGTCAGGTTGAAAAATAAAAAGGTGAAAGTTTTTGAACGTTTTATTGACTGGAAAAAGAATTTTAAGTGCTGCCTGGAAAAGGCACCTGAATTTTCCTACCTTGATTTTTTTTATTGTTACTATTTTTATTTTTGTATAAGGTTTTGGGCAGTTGATTGAGTACTCAAATTTTTGATACGTACTCTAGCAGCCAGAAAGCGTAATTTTAAAATTACCGTATCCCGAAAAATCCGAATATCTGATTTTTGGGTTTTTTTTCCAGAAGGTATCCGAATTTTCCAACGAATTTTAGTGTTATTTTCTATTTTTGTATAGTTTGTAGGCCAGTTAATACAGTATTAGCATTTTTAATCGATATTCTGGCTGCCAGAAAGCGTAATTTTAAAATTACCGTATCCCGAAAACAATTTTTTTGGCAAAAATGCGATTTCATTCGTACTTTTTGAGTAAAGATAGGGGTCGAATACGTGGGGATCAAATAGTGTCTTAATCCTCTCTGCTACCGTACCCCATTCCGTCGGTTTCCATCCAGATTACAGCCTACCGTAATCCCTCTCTCTCTAATCCCTCCCCCATTTCAGTCGTTCAATCCAAGAACAGAAAGTGTATTCCTGTGATTCGAGACAATGCTATGATTATCGAGGTAAGCGTTCTTTTAATGGGACTAATAAGTATTGTATGGGCGAATTGGCGGCTTGCCAATTTGTAGGCGGCCGACTGTATGGCAGGCCAGCTAGCAGTGATTCTTGAGATCGAAAAAATTTGGAGAATCCGTGAAAACTCAATAATTTTGGCGCATTTTTTTGACGGGAAAACTAGCAGAGACCACCTGATCCGCTTGGCAGCTTGCCAGTTAAAATTTGAACGAACTGTACGGCAGGTCGGCTAGCAGAGATTCCTTGAGAACTTGAAAGTCCGATAAATTGTGGAGAAATCTTGAAAAATCGATAATTTTGGCGCGTTTTTTCGCGGACAAACCAGCAGAGACCATTTGACGCTGAAATAAATTATTTTACTTATTTTTAAAATGTTTAAAGGCACAGAGACAGCCTCGTATTTCAGTGAATACAACCCGTGTCGGTGGTGGCGGTCATTGTCGATATTGTCGATTCCAGAAGTGTCTCACTGCCGGAATGCTCGTCTCCGGTCAGTTTCATCAATTAAAAATTTTCTAAAATCTTTTAAACAATTTTTATATGGGTTTTTGGGTAATCTGCCTCGTAAAACGTATTTAACTAACCAAAAATTTCTTCCTACATTTTTAAAAGGATTTTTATCGATTTTTACTCAAACTGCCCTCCATCGAGCCGTTTTCAGAGGTTCACGTGCGTCGTCAACGCCAAGACGGCGTCGTCAACCAGCCAGATGCCTTTCTGGTGGGCATTCTAGCTAATGAAATCGTAAAAATGGTCCCTGGATAGCTAAAAACTCAAAAAAATTATTGTATTTTTGCAGGAAATGCGTCACGGGGAGAACGGAACCCCGTTTCTCGGTTTACTAATCGATATGAGGAGGAGGATGGCTGAGAACAGGCGGCAGCTCATCAAGCCCGAGCATGTGAGTTTAATTTGGAATTTAAAGGTTTTTAAATTATATAAATCGGCCAAAAACGCGAGCTGGAAGTCAGTTTACATAAATCAATTGATTTTGGCTTTTCTGAACACCAGCTTTGATTATTGGCTAAATTGCCACTCAGTTAGCCAAAATCAATCGATGATTCCCGCAATTTTTCTAATTATCGATTTTCTGGCCAGAAATACCTGCCGTAACCGATTTACCGCTCTTTTTCAGTGGGAGCGTTCTCGTGTCCAACTGCATGTCGATGAACTATCCATTGAATGGCATCTATTCTCCGAACATCTCATCCATCATCCACTATTTCAACGAATTCGGTTGGTAACCCTTAAAAATTGATTTTAAAGGGGCAGTGACAGCAGAAACCGTTCTCAGCCATCCCCATCAACTGGCAACCTTTAAAACCTCACAAATCTATGTGTTTTTTTTCATGAAAATCAGCAGATTCGCTCAAACTGACAGTCAAGCTACCTGTTCCAGTCCCTTTAGCAAGCTAAAAACCTAATTTTTCATTTTTAGAGACCTGGACTGGCTGTCCTACGAAGGAGGTCCACCCTCCCCTGAACCGTCTCGTGCATACACCGATTTCTTCTACCTTCACTATGTCTTTGAACTTGTTCTGGCGACGGTTCGAGGCGGTGGTGTACAGATGGATGCTTGTATCACTACGGTACGCTACTATGGACGACAGTTCGGAAATATCACTCTCTAAATCCATTATCTGACATCTGTGAGATACCCTCTAGCCGATAGATCCCCTCCGGCCGGCATGATAAGTTCTTTGTCTGTCCGTGCCGAACTTGTCTGTCTGTTTGTGTGCCAGTCTGTCTATCTGTCCACCCGTCCATCCGGTGTCGATCATTTGAAAGATCTTGCTACGGCGTCTCGGGCAGCTAGTTCGTTTGGGTGGAATTAGGAACCTAGTGGACTGAATGCTTGGCTGGGGAGAGGAAAGCTGCAAAAGGCGAGCGTTCAGTACATTACTGTACGTACTGTCCGCCAGAAAAGGTACTCCGGGTGTCGATTGTAGCGAAAAATGCTAACTGGACTCCAGACTACAACCGGCAGTTCAAACCCAGAAAACTAAGCTTTTCAGTACATTACAGTACGTACTGACGACCTGTTGTAATTACGGTGTAGATTGTACTCCAAGATTTTATCTGGACTCCAAACTACAGCCTGAGAAGATTTTTCGCCAATTTTTTGGCATTTTTCGAGAATTAAGAAATTTAGAAACCGAAACTTTTTCTATGATTTTATTTTTTAAATGTAATCGGTTTTATTTTCATTAAATTTAACAATTTTTAAAATTAAAACCTCGCGTAACAATTTAATCTTTAAATTGATTAAATTCCAGACAGGCCTGAAAATCGATGCAGACATGGAATCCCTCACCATCTTCTACAGCGCCTCCCCACTGGCCGATCCGGTCTGTATGGCTAGGTGGGTACTGTAGGGCATACTGTAGTCTGTAGCCTTCACGTTTAATTCTAAAGGTCCACTACACTCCAGTTTACGGAGTCCCCCAAAAACCCGGAGCGGAAAGTCGGTTTTTGGTACTGTACTCTTACCGGGGGGACGCAAAATAAGTTCAATTTTTCTAATATTTTCAATTTTTTGTATATTTCTGATGATTTTTTAGGGTCTTAAACAATTAAATTATTATAAAATACTATTATAATACTTAATTGGCGCTACTATGCATTTCGTTTTTTTTTGGAAAATTTTCCCCTTCTATTTCTACCCCACCCCCGCTATGCACAAGTTCCGATTCGAAAAATTCTACTACACTTCAGTTTAAGCATCTCCCAAAAACCAGGAGCGGAAAGTTGGGTTGTTCCGCTGGACAAGGCCGATAAATCGCGCGGCTAAGGGATCGAACTAGCAAATCGGGTGGCTCTGAACGAACTTTCGGAACTGTAGCCTCGGAGAGGACATTCGCACCCGAATATACGGCAAACAGATAGATGCCTCGCTAGCCAGATAGCCGACTAGTGCCCCTAAAAAAGGCTGAAAACTCCCTGTGACGCGCTTTCACTGATTTATCGCTGGGGGTTCGGCTGGCTATCGGACGGCCCGTTTTTGCGATAATTAACAGGGTTGGGCAGTGGAAAGCTGGAATTTGGTTGGTCAACTGTCAATTAACACAAAAATCCTCGAAAAACCCACTTTAAAGGGCTTGTGAAGCGTAAAAGTTCGAGGGTACCTGAATTGACCCGTCATTCGGAGCGCCCCTTTTCTTACCCCAAAATAGGCGAAATGTTAAGCTAATGTTAAGCCAGAATGCGATTAATTGCCCGACAAATAGACGAAACATGCTAAAAAATCAGTTTTAAAGGACCGGTGAAGCGAAAAAATTGAGAACACCGGAATTTCACGCATTTTGCAGACTGGCCCAACCGTTCTTCGAACATCTCATCCGCACATGTGCAAAAGCCCTACAGGCCCTTCAACTGGATGAAACAGAGACAGCCTACGTTCACTACATCATCACTACCTCCTGGCTAAGTCAGTCTATTTCGAAAAATTTTTTTTTAAAGAAAATTTCACAACAATCGTCAAAAACGCTTGTTAAAATTGTCTTTAAATCGCCCCCCGATAATGCACCAGTCCCGAAATTCTCAATCTTTTCGAGCGTTAGACATACCGGGCTCCCCCTCGTTAATGAACAAGTACCAACAATTTTGTTCATAATGAATTCCGCTTCGCTCCTTTGCACGCTCGCGATTTGACGCACTGCCCCCCGCTAGTGCACCAGTACCAAAAATCCTCTGTCTAAGAAAGTACGCCCCACTCCTTTTCACTTTCGATTCCACCAGACACCACGCAACACTACGGTATTAGAGGACCGAAAAACGGGTGGTGTCAATTTTGTTCACTAATTGTGCAACACCAGGAAGAAGAGGGGAGAGGGGGTGAAAGGACAGCCGAGATATCTCCGACTCGAATCTGATCCCCTTAGGGGGGGACAATCGAGACCAGGAAGTGATCGTCTACAGAAGGAGGGAGAGGGGTAGACCCAGTTCTTCTTCTCTTGCTCCCTCTCCTTGCCCTTACGGGAGGGCGAGATAACCCCCTTGCAAAGAAAGCTGCTGCTCCTTGAGGGCGTATTTCTGGAATCCGGAAGGATTTCCATACGGATTGACCGGCAGCTAGGGGAAATTCGGGGTCAAAGCGGGGCTTTGGGGGATTTTGAACCTTTTTTGCCTAGAATTTTGCAAACTGGCAACTACCGTATCATTCCTATTACCGCAACTGGGCCGTTACGGGGGGGCAATTTTTCCACAGAATCTCCTACAACAAATATTAACTATTTCATAGCATTTTGCAAAGTATTTTAGAGAAAAAATATCATAGAAATCTTGAAAATGTTCTCTATTTGCAAAAATTTATGAAAAATGCCCAAAAAATCAATTTTTCCGATTTTTCAAAAATGATCAAAACATTTTTTTGTGACTTTCCAGCAATCGAAAACTACCAAAATCTAAAAATCGCGTCTTCATGATGAAGCAGGGAGAAAAAAATTAGTTGTTTCCACCCGTCAGAACCCCCCCCCCGATAAAAGCCAAGCACCAAAACATGTCTATTTTTACGCAAACTGTATGCCAACTAAATTCATAGTCCATTTTCAGCGTTCCAACAGAACGATTCGGCCACATGTCGGGGTATCCTGTGTCAAGAGCTTCACCGTCACTATTCAGCCCGTGAGGGAGTGATTGGGACAAAACTGGGCAATCTCTGTCTGACAGCCTCTTTCTTTCTTGAAGCTCTCTTCAATTTAAGGGAATATGTCACTGTTATGCATATTCGAGGGTTGATTCTCTAAAAATCAACTAACTGATTTTTTTTTTACGTGCGTTAGTGCGCAAAAAGCTCTCTTTTAAGCTACCTGATTTTCTAAACTGACTCAGACCCTTTATAAATCGGTTTTCTAAACTTTTTTATTACCTATATCTTTAAATTGCCGCCCATTTAACCAGACTTCTACAATCTCGACCCTTGATCTCGCTATAGAAACTTTAATAAGTCAATTTTCGTTATTTTCTATTTATCACTTCACTCCCCGATCTCCATTTTTGTTTTTTGAATGTGTAAATATGTTTTTTTAATAAACAGTTAAGAGAAAAATACAACAACATTTTATTTGCAGGCCCGAAAAATCGAAAAAATCGATGAAAAACACGGAAAATTTGTAGGGAAAGGCCTCGTGGGGAAAATTATAAAAAATTCGTTATTTGTGTATAGCTAATGCAAAAATATATAATAGTGAGCAATATAAAAATATATTACAATTTAAAAAGGGTGGAGGCCAATTGGAAAATCCTAAAAATAAAAATTCCGAAAAATACTCTGTATTGAAATTCTGGGCATCACAGATTTTTTTAAATGGGGAGATCGAGGTTTTTGAGTGATTTGAATTAATAACAATTAAATATATACAATGTATAATATACAATATACAATATATAAATTTCATAAAACAGAACAAGTAGAGAAAATGGCGTTCACAGAACCCAACAAAAAATTACAAAACTTCCTGAGAGCGACATTTTTTTAATTTAAACTGTTTAAAAGCGTCTTTTTGAACTTTTAATTTACAAAATTTTGCTAAATTGATTAACTGGCGTTCACAGAACCCAAAAAATCGCAAAAATGCAAAAAGTGAAAAACGCAAAAAAATTTCGTTGACTTTTTTTGTACCGTCTGCGAATAACAATTTAAGTTGAATTTAAATTGGTTTTTGTAATTTTTAAAAGGATGAGAATCAATTTTCAGTGAAACTGGCTCACGGAGATGCCCACGAACCGAACAACAACTCAACAATGACGACAAGTTCCTTGAAACGATGAAGAGAAGAGAGGAGAGGAGGGAGAAGCTGCTCCAATTGGCCCATCTTTTGCCATACCTCTGCCCCTCCTGTCTCGTAGTACAGACCGATTTCAGCGTGAAGGGTGCCTGGGGTACTGTCCAGTTGGGAGCGGAGGGCTGGAAAAGACTTGATTTTAACCAGCTTAACAGGTAAATTCCGATTTTTGCGCATTTAAAATCAGGTACCCTCCAAAATCGGGGTTTTTCGAATCAGGTACTCTCTCGGAATGTTGGTTTTTAGCCAGTTTAACGGTTAAATCGTCATTTTTCCGTTTTTCAATCAGATACGCTATCAAATGAAGATGTTTTCAATTTATAATAAGTAAATTTGGGTCCTCGTTTTGCAAAGGTACCTGAAAAATCAGGTACCCTGCTTAAAAATGGCGTTTTGAATCAGGTATTCTCTGCACAAAAGCGGTAAATTGAAGTTACACCGATTTTTAGACAATTTAATGGGTTAAATCGTTATTTTTGCCATTTTAAAAGCAGATATTCTTTCAAAGGCGAGCTTTCCCAAGGTACCCACCTCCATGTGCCAGCGTAGCGTAGAAAAGATAGGCGGTCTCCATCTCATCCAAATGGGCTGCTTGCAGATTCCGACTGCATACACGAACAATCAGATCGAAGAATTCCACCGAAAGTCTGAAGGGAATTATATATCGTAATGCTATATGAGGGTTATGGATGGATATCTATGATTTCGTATAAAAAAAATCGGATTTTTAGGGATTTTTCCAGCGATATTTACAAAAAAAGCGAGTAATTTGGCGGAAAATTTAAACCAAATTACATGCCGTTATGTAATTTGGGCTCTCTGGATGTCAAATGCATGATTTTCTCTTGGAAAAATTAATTTGTTAAATTTTATATTTTTCTACGATTTTCAGGTACCCACCTCGTCAAACAGTCGGGATCCTGATTGGCCGGATCTTCAGCAAAGAACCCTCTCAACGAATCGTCGGTCAGCTCGACATGACTGCCATCGTAGAATGCACATCGATCCATTTGGACACCACCATAGATTGAAGTGGCACATGCCATCTCGAACACCACGAACAGGAAGAACAACTCCCGAATACGGCTCTGAAAAAGGGTTTTATGTATGGAATATTATTAACTGACAGTCAGTTTACCATTTTAAAATTTGATTTCGATAACCTCGCGCGTAATTTTTTGAAATTTTAAAAATACAAACTTTAAAAGACAGGTGCTGGATTGTTAGCGCGGGGGGAGGACGAAACGACTCACCGGTTGGAGTGAAGCCCAATTGTCTGGAAGCGGAGAGGATGGAGCAGTGTTTAAAGCGGTAGATGAATTGGCCGAAGAAGTAGATGAACAAGAAGCAGAACAGGGCGCCTCTAATGGCTCTTCTTTCGGTTGCTCCAATACCATAGAGGCTTCTCGTGTCATTTGGGAAAAAGCGGCCGATGGGAGGAGATGAGAGACGAATAATTGCCATTCAACTCCCAGGTATCGTCTCCAATTCGAGAATCCGAATCTGGGGCTCTGTCCGCTGTATATTCTCGTACGCGCTGCGGCCACGTCGCGGCGGAGTTGCACCAGGGCCTCCAATTGGCCCGTTGTGGATTTTCGACGGGGCAGGGGGAGCTGAAAATATTTTGTAGATTTAAACTGACATCCTGCTTATTTATTATGACAAACATTAACGTTTAAAAAAGTTAAATTTTAATTAGCCTACCGGTCTGGGTGATGCGGTAGCCGCCGAACTGACCGATTCGCTTTTCCGCACCCTCTTCGCTTGAACTTCTAAAATTAAGCAATTAAATGATTACGATATGTAATACAGTACCCTGTGGCAACATTCCAACGGAGAGACATTTCTCGAATCGACAATATCTGCAGATACCCCCTCGCTTCGCCGAGTCGAATCGAACATTGCAACGGCGGTGGGCACATGCGTACACTTTTTGGTCGGATACTGATCTTCTGGAAAGGAGTATTTGGTTTAATCTATTTTAATCTGTTGGTTGTATGCCATTTAATATAACAGAATTTATTTTTAAACGAAAATTCGGGAAGAAAAATATTTGGAAATTCAGGTACCTCAATTCAGGTACCCAGAAATCAGGTACCTTTCGTTTTAATCGGGTATTTATGTTACATTGAGCTAAATTTGGTCAAATTAAATTTTACGAGCTGAATTGTATCCCGTTTCACACGATCAATTAATTCGCCAGCAAAAAATAGATAACCAAAAAGATCTCGTTACCCCAATTCAGGTATCCTCATTTCATGCCAATTTCTCAGGCCCAAAAACATGCAAACAATCTGTTAAAAGCGAAGCCAGCAAGCAAAACAAGCTACATATCGATTATCCAAGCCATAAGCAAAAAGCAAGCACCTAAAGAAAGCTCCACATGCAGCACAGGCAACAGCTCCAAAGTGGAATCCCTCGGCCGAATCGGCACATACCGTACACGAAAGGCTCTTCTCAGAGGCCGATGAGGAACGACGGAGGTGCGTCTCCTGATGAACTGCTGAAAAAGTGGTCAATTTAATCGCACGGAAACTAATATTAATAAATTCTTTAATTAGCAAAAATCGCAAAACTTAAAATTCGGTGGCTACCGGAAATTTGAGGTACTCTCCAATTTAGTGATACAGACATAATCTATTTAAATTTGGTTTCAATACATACCTTACATGGCATGCATAGGTTCAGAAAAACTTTACAAACGATTATCTGGCTACGTGAAAATTCAGATACGCCGGTTCTAGGAACCTGAAAATTCAGGTACCCTCGTTCAGGTAACCGATTCCAGTTATCTCAAGAAGTAGTAGTATTAGTATACAAGAGTACTTTCTACTATACTCTAGACAGTTTGTACTTGTGATCCCCCAGAATGCGTCACCCCCTCCCAAAAGCGGAAGCGGAACAAAAGCCGCGGCTCAAAATGGGAGGTGGGAAGGTAAGTAGCCGTTATGAGTTCCAGTTCCGCCTTTCCTTGCCCTGCTTCCGCCCCTTTTTGTATTCCATTAATAGACACGTATCCCCCAGGAGAGAGAGAAAGCGGATAATTGAATGTCTCCCCCTTTTGGCCCTCCCGGGGGACCAGCTTATTCCCTCCCCCTTTCCCCTTTTGGGCCCCAGATTTCCGGGTCTTTTCTTTTCTTCCTTCTTTCTGCCGGTTGATCTCGCTAATCCCAAGCTTTTTACGCCACCCGGAATTAGGAATTCCGGAACTTTTTGACTAGCTTGTCTATCGTGCCGGTCTAGCTGATTGACGGGGGAAAATTGGCTAGCTGAGGAATGTGTATCTTGAACTTGGTGAGATGGGATTACTTGGCCAGTGTCCTATTGCAGAGATCACTTGGGGAAAGAGTAGAAAATGGTTGCACTAACTTTCCTGGTTGGCATATTAAATGGTGAACAACATAAGTTGGCTTAAATTTAACTAATTCGGTTAGTTAAACTAGGTAACTGACAATTCAGGTACCCTGACTGACATGCTATAATAAAAACAATATTGAAAGACAAATATATTAATCAAGACCAGGTACCTGAAAATTCAGGTATCCTGGCTGCCACGCTACAATATAAACTAGTATAAATTAAAGCTTGATTAAATTATGCCAGTTTCCTGAATCAGATCCCCTGTCTCTGAAACTGTAATACAAAAATAGCCACTGGGCCCTGTAGTAGGACTTACTGTAGGACAGTAAGTATGGGAAACCTAGAACCTCATCTATTTCCACAAAATAAAAATATTTACCGCCTATGACTGTAGCCAAAGCGTAGTACAGGTGACAGTTGAATATAATAAGGCGATAGCATCAGTTCCGAAGGCTCATGCTTCTCCTCTCCAGATGCTACTACTAATATCCCACGCCGAATCAGGTACCCAAATACCCCCCAGAATAGGCCACCCCCCATAATTTGTATCTATTTTGAAATATGCACCCCTCAGATACTCCCGAAATCAAGGACAAAGAAAAAGGGCCCCCATTTCTATTCTGGCGGACAATGAGTGTGAAATAGGGAGAAGAGAGGGGGAGAGGGGAGAGAGAGCAGAGAAAGAGGCGGATTCCCAGGGGGCAGGCGAACCAGGGGGGAAGTTCAAGTATTTCAGACAGACACCCTGAAAGAGGGATCTTTGTCATGGGAAGGCCAATTCATTTTGAAATGACGGCCCGGATTTAAAAGTGGCCAAGCTGGTCGCCAGATTCACGAATGCATTTTGTTGCGTAAGCTATTTCTGGGTTTCAGACGATTTGTAAGGTGTTTTGTAAAAATTGACCCAAGTTACCTGAACTGAAATTAGCCATTGGAATGTATCTGTTACAAAATAAATTACGGTAGCCAGTATGCATTTTCAGAGCTGATCGAGACAGAGAGACGTAGGTTCAAAAAAAGGATTTTTAAGGAACTTTGTAAAGTTAGGTCGAGGGTACCTGATTTTTAACTGATTACTACATGAAATATTTTTTTTACTAGAAAAGGTTTAAAGCAGTCAGTATGCATCAATAAACTATCACCAAAAATATATAATTAGTTTTACAGTAGATTTTCGATTTTTGAAAAATTCAAAAATTGGTTCGTATCAAAAAATTCGTAATTTTTTTAATTTTAGGGATAAAGAATTTCTATGAAATAAGGAGATCTCTAGCTAAACTGGCAGCCGAAGAATGAGGTGAGACCTCAACCGGAAGTACCGGAGGGCACTCAGCGAAGTGACCCCCGGCCATGTGGGACCGTTGAATTGGGAAGACCCTCCACGAAACGACGCAAATCCGGACGGAGTATGCCTATTTTTAGCAGAAGCCGATGCTAATCCGGGTATATCCCATGAATCGCAGCGGATATACGCGTGGATGTGAAGACGACACTAATACACTCCCTCTCTTTCTACAGATTGGCTTTAACGGGATCAAGCTTCTTAGGATCAGCTTGAAAAAAGTTTGTTGTGAAATTTTTTCTAAACTCACGAGCGCTTTTGAGCATTTCATTTGTTTGTAC